TCCCTCTGCAAGGTGCCTTGTCGTCCCGGTGAGCCCCGTCGAGTACTGGGAGCTGGCAAAAATGAAGCTGATGTGGCAATTACAGTGTGCTCCTTTAAGCCCAAGACACCGATGCTGTGAGAAAGAGAAGTGTATCTCAAAGCAGCTATCTTCGATTATAGATTTTTTTTTTTACAGGTGGTGTTCTTATGACTGAGTGTTAACTTATCCTTTTTTTCTGGTTTCAGAGTAGAGATATTTATTGCAATTAAACTACTTAGTTCTTATAGTATAATCTGAACTGTGTTATTTGTGTGTTGACTGCCAAAAGCAAGCAGCTTTAGGTAAAGTGCTACCAGGGGGCACTTCATTCTTAAAAATGTTAAACACTAAACATTTTTTTCCTTGTGATTTGTATCCCATAACTGTCTGTTCATGTTGGACACACTGTCTATGACGTTGTTTGCAGGAGCTAGAGAAACTTGTTTTCTACCAGTTTGAGGGGTAACCTGCATTAAGTGAAATGCAAACAGCTGTACAGGTCTGAAAAGCTGCATTTTCCTCCCCTGTAATAGCGCTAAGCTTTCTTAAAATGCAGAGACAACCAAAACACAGTAACAGTAATCAAAATAAATAGATAATATTTAAAAAAAAGCTGTTAGTATTTGTGCTACTTGTGGCTAGGAAGCAATGACCTCTTTAGCGGAATTTACAGGATGGAGAGGGTTGGAAAACAGCCATTGCTTGATGTACCTCTTTGTTGTAGAGAGGAAATCATGGTTATGCTGAAGATTTCATCTTTCCTTGCTGTTTATGCCTTGGTTGTGTGCCAGATGGATAGCTTCCAGGCAGCCCCAGTCAGGTAAGAAGCTGATCCTGTTGCTGAATGCTATATCTGAATGGTATGAAAATACTTAATATTCTTTAGATGTCTTGGAGGGGAACGGACTACAGTAACAGAGAAAGGTGACTGCTCTTTATGCTCTGTTTGGCACTGTGGCTTTTTGGTTACATATATAAATTGCCCAGCACTGCGCATTAGGACGGTTCATGTATTCACACTGGTGAAAGACACTGTCAATGACATGCAGTGATGCTGTCAAACCCATCTCTCCTGTGTGTGGCTCTCTGCAGCAGTCTGGGTTTTATTCACCCTGCTTTGCTTGTCTCTGCTCAGACCTGGCTTGGAGTCCATCACGGACCGAGTGACGCTCAGTGATTACGAAGCTCGGAGGCTATTAAATGCACTGGTGAAAGAGTTCATACAGATGACAGCAGAGGAGCTGGAGCAAGCCTCTGAAGGGAACAGGTAAGGACTGCAGTCCTGGGCAGGAGAGAGGCAATGGGGGAATGTTATGGATTTGATATTTAGCAAAAGCCATCTGAGCAGACCCTCTGCAGGTCAAGATTTGTCTTGTTGGGGTCAGCTAACTAGTACAGGATGATACTGCAGAGACATCCTAATGTTGGTGTCAGGAGATTGACTTCCACCCAGTTAACCTGCTTCTATCTGTCTCTTACATCTGAAAGTGGAGGGCGATTTGAGCTTGAATGAGGGGGTTATGCCAAAATATGGCAGCAAAAGGTATGTCTTCTTAGTGGGAGTGTTAGGGGCCATTCAGTCACTCTTGGATTCTCTGTCGTGAAAGTGCATGCTGTTGTAAGACATGGAAAGTCCCTGGCAGAGGGGATGTGTTTCCCCTAATGCACGCAGCGCCACTCTCCCTTAGACCAAAGGCATGCAAGAGCATTTGCATTATCCTCTCAGGATTTGCATTGCAATGCATGGTGGTGTATGAGTGAGACCGAACAGCATGCAGAGTATGTGAGAAGCTAAACTTCCTGACCTCTGATTATGAGCATCCAAAAGGCTAATGAACTTGCTTGTCACCAAAGTTGGATTCATTGAAAAACGGTGTTTTCCTTCTGACTGCTTTTGTATGAACTTGCCTTGCATGGAATGTGGATTTATTTTTGAATTAGCTTTTAAGTTTCCTAACAGGAGATACTTATCTAGGGAAGAAATGCATGAACATGCATGTTTGAGGTTACTCTTCCTTTGGGCATGTTTTTTGTTGTGTTTTTTTGTTTTTTTTTTCCCCCCTGCAGCCTGGATAGACCCATTTCCAAACGCTGTGCCAGTCTGAGTACTTGTGTGCTGGGCAAACTGTCTCAAGAATTGCACAAATTGCAGACTTACCCTCGCACTGACGTCGGGGCTGGAACTCCTGGCAAGAAACGAAATGTGCTGAGTGACCTGGAACATGATCGCTATGCAAATTATGGGGAACCTTAGGAAACAACTAGACATGCTTATTTCTCCCCCTCTCCCTTTTTTAACCTGATGCATGTGGATCTAACTTTGATTGCTAACTCTGCTATGTTCTTTTTGATTCTGTTTTCGACAGAGAATGTTTGAGATGGACCTAATGTTAGGAAGACAGAGAACATAACATGCATACCAAGCTAGGGGAAAAAAGTAAATAAAAATGAACAGCACTGCCTTGACATTTCAAATGATTTTCTTAGAAATTGATTTAAAAAAATTCTAAGCAAGGATCTTCATTTCTGGCTGCTAAATGTACAAGTAGATTCTTTTCTTTTATGCTTGCCCATGCACCAATAAACCTATTTTTCTATAAGGATTAGATCTGTTTGGTTTAATACTTGCTTTAGAATGTGAGACTTCTAGATAAGGCTAGAAAAATTTTACAAGTTGTCTTAATGTTCAAGAGAGACAATGCCAGTAATTTCTAGAAAAACTGGAACAGAACTTAGAAGTCCAAGTTATATGCAGACATTGATATGTACTGCTGTAATCAGGTATGCATGCAATCCTGTTGGCAAGGACTCTGAGAAGCAAAGAAATCAGGAAAGGCTCATGCACATTCATTCAAATAAACTAGAAATGTAATTCTGTTTAAAACTGGGTACTGAACACAGCCAGGTAAGAATTTCGTGTTCTTTTCCTTTCTCCTTCTTACTTTACAATAGGTCTTTGCACTGGTATAGTTAAAACTTGTGTATCTTTAAAATATTTGCATTCATTTACAATTCACCTAAATTCTTTTAACTGAAGAGTCAAACCCAGATTTCTTTAGTTCTATTGCAGCACTGCATTGCATCTATCTTGTAATCAGAAAAAAATGGCATTGATGTTACAATATTCTACCCTTCATTGTTAACATTAATAAACTCTCTTGTGATGCTTATCTGAAAATCCCCTCCTACTGCAAGAAAAAGTCATGGCTTTAGTAGAGTATTCTTCAAACAAGGACTATATGAATGTGTATGCCTTGAAGTTCCCTGCCTAGCAAAATTGTTAACTGTAGGCTGAACTCTAAGCACGGAACTAACACTGTTGAAGCATGGGAACTACTGCCGTGGCAAAGTGCTGTAGTAGACAAAGGTCTAACTGTAGGAAAGAGGTTCCCCCGTTCCCATTAAGTGCTTGGAAGCAATGTGTTTATCTGTAGTGCAACTCTGAAAGCAATTGGTCAGCTGCTGTGCAGATCCAGCCCATCAGAGTCACTGAGAGAGCTCCTATGGTCATCAGTGATGCTGGAATTCCATGAGTTTTCTGGGTGTTATGGAGCATAGGTATTGAAGTGAGAAGTGAAAGGTCAGTGTCTGCTACTGCCTTTCAGCAGCACCTCAACCAAAACACAGCTCTGAGCTTCTGGAGGAAGCAGAGCTGCTCCAAACCTGGAACTCCTGGGCACCTCTCTGGGGTCATAATGCCTAGCTGGAGGCAGATGATGGCTCAGGTGTTGCTGAAAATCTGGCTTGGCTTTGTCTTCAGTCTAATTGCTCAGGAAAGGTAGAGCTTAGCCACCTTTGGTAAAGTAAGCCTGACATTTAGCAAACCATAAAGATGCATCTTTTAGCACTTGTAAGCTGTGCACACAGAAGGTGCAAATGCCTGCTGCACAGCAAGCCTGCTTTCCTACTCATAGCATCTCTTATGGATGTTTCATGGCATGCAGGGTGGGTGCTGTGGGAACTAACTCTTCCTTTTCCTTCTGAAAAGCAGTGTCACAGCACAGAAGAGGGCATGCAACACAGCCACCTGTGTGACCCACCGTCTGGCAGACTTCCTGAGCAGGTCAGGGGGAGTGGGCAAGAACAACTTCGTACCAACCAATGTGGGATCCAAGGCCTTCGGCAGGCGAAGAAGAAGCCTTCAAATATAGAAAGCCGAATTATAATGTGAACATGGTAAATACCTTGCAATAAACAGAAACTCCAGTGCAAACAACTTGTGGCATTACCAACATTTTGGTTCTGCTGGATGAATAACACACCTACAGTGGTAACCTCTGAGAAAACAGGGCCAGTAACAGTGTAAAAAGAAAGATGTTACAGTTAGAACAAAGGCTCCTTTAGAATGCGAAGAAAAGCTTTTGTGCATGTTCTGCTTCACAGTGTTTTTGTGTTTAACTAAACACAAAAATGTAGTTGGCATTACTTGCTTATTTTACCAATAACATTTCATTATCAGCATATCAGTAACTCTGGTTTTCTTTCTTTCAGATTGCAATGAAACTGAAAATCGACTTTAATTTCTAATGGAAGTAACTCCTCCATATGTCAAGACAGCCAAAAAGAAGATTAATTTTTCATCCTAATATTAAAAATGTTTTATTTAATACAAATGAAAACACTTCTGTTATGTATAGTACAAGAGAATCTAGTTATTAAAGTTAAATTATTGTATATTCTTTTTATATGCAACTCTATTTCAAATAAAATGTGACAGCATCTATAATTTATTTATCTTCCAGCTTATGTGATCCATGCTCTTTATCCTGACCCTACTGCCAAATCTCGGGGATTATACTAAACTGCTGCCTGGCAAGGCATATGTGTATTATACAGTGTGCTGTGCCTTGATGTAAAGCACTTAACTAACCTGATTGTACAGTATGTTTAAGAAAAAAAAGAAAAAATCACTTAAATATTGTATTATTTGTGAATTTACACAAAATTAAAAAAAGTATTTTAGATACACTTGGATTGAGAAACTGATTTTTCATTTGGACACACTTAGGGAAACATTTGGCACTAAGCCAACATCATTGCAGATCAGCCCATTGATCTGCTCCAGCCTTATTAGCTATAAATACTAGGATCTGAGTCAAAAGTTCAGAACAGAAGGAATAGCTATTCTTATATATATTTTAAAAAAAGAAACAAACCCAGAAGACACCACTTAGTGAGACTTCTGCTAGAAAATAAAAGGAAGCCACAGTTATATTTAGTAAAGCCACAGAGACAAGTTTCATCCTGAAGTTTAAGACTTAAGTATTTTTACACAGGTTGTAGTTCAATTGAAATGGCCTGAGATACTCTAGATTTTTGTGTAAGGTCAAGAAAGTGAATTAGAAAGATAAAATGAAGGTACAGAAATGTGCATTTCTTTGAAGCAATCCTGAGACAGAATCTATTTAGGGATCAGGGATAAATAATTAGAGTGAGTGGAGAAGAGCGTAGCTGGAAGCATTCCATGGACTTCTAAGTGGTGCTGCCAACTTCCTCCTCAGAGCTGCAGGGTTTCAGTTTAGTAGCTGAGTCAGATATTTGTTTAGATTTGTTTTGTGCTTTACAGCCTGACCCTAAATCTGCTTCAGCAGTTCTGATGAATCCCAGAACGTGTAAGGTTGGAAGGGACCACAGTGGGTCAGCTGGTCCAGCCTCCCTGTTCAAGCAGGGTCATCCCAGAGCGTATTGCACAGGATTGCATGCAGATGGCTCTTCACTATCTCCACTGAGGGACACTCCTCCTTGTTGTGTAGAGGATAAGGCTTTCATGATACCTCTGTCTGTCTCTGCTGCAGGTGTAATAGCAACAGAGAAGCTTGGTCAGCCCAGTGTGGACACAGGCAGTCAGGCTGCCCAGTGACGACGCTTCTATACCATGCTCCTTCGTGGCTATGGTTTTACTCCTTGGGGAACACTTCTGCCCTGGTAAGTCAGTGTACAAAGTAGACCTTGTAGGAGATAAAACCAGTTTAGAGAGAAAAGTTCCAGTGCCTAAATGGGCAAAGGAGGGATATTCAGGCTTGGCTTTCAAATGTCTTTCCCAGAGGTAGTCTAGTGCTTTTTTTCATTTTCACCCAAAGCATCTGAGTTTGGCCATAATTGTGTGTCCTGTATCCACATAGGGAACCACTGCACTGTCTTCGTGAAAGGATCTGTTTGGGTTAGATCAAACTGCCAGTTTTGAAGCCTGTAATTGCTCTTCACGGTGTTTCAGGTATTTGTGCCCATTTTTCTTTACACAAAGTGGGAGTCATATGCTGGGATCACCTGGCTACCTCAGCAACACCTTTCCCTGTCACTGCAGATCCTCTGGGCACAGGTGGCAGTTAGTCTCTTTTGTTCCCTACTACAGCACTCAACAGCTTAATCTTCTCCAAGATAAAATACTAAGCACAGTTATTAGGATCAATACATGTAATTTAGTGATTCATATTCAGTAAGAAGCCAGGCAATGTTCCTAGGTCCCTTCTGGCTGTAAAGTCTAAATGATCAGGCAGTTTATTTCTTTCATTTACAGCCATTCTCTGCTGAGAGACACCTGAGGCTGCTCCATGTAGTTGCATGACAGCAGTAGTGACCATCTAGTCTAAAAAAAAGTTTTAGTCCTTCTTTTCAGTTTAACCAAGTTATGCTTTTTTTTCTGTCAGCCAGAAGGACTTTCTCAGACTGACATTGTACACCAAATCACAAACCTGACATGCAAAACATTCTAGTAACCTTGGTGCTGGTTTTTATATTGTCCTGGTTGTAGGAAAGTTGGATGAAACTTTTGATACATGTTGTTTTGGGTTTTTTTTGTTTTGATTGTTATTTTCTTTTTTCTTAGGAAGAAATAGCTGGATTCATACCTGTAGATCTATTTCTGTTGTATGTTCTGTCCCTTCTCAGTAGGATCTCTGTATTGCAATGCAATACATTCACCTACACATATCCCTGTGAAGGACAGAGGCCCAAAGCACTATGGCAGCAAGAGCAAATGGGAAAACAATTTGAGGACCCTTACATACTTTTCCATGATGTGGAGGGGTTGAAATGCTTCACCACAAAACTGAGTTGCTCAGAGCTTTAGTAAAAACAGATTATTATTGAAACAAGAAAAAAGCCAAGATGTAAACACTGATTATTTTTTTTTTTACATTTTAAGGCAGCGAACATGGGAGAGGAATTGCAGAGCTGCTGAAGCTTATCAAATTCTTTGACAAGTGGAATAAATTGCTTCCATTTTTAAAAAGAGCTGTTCTTAGTAATATTACCCAAACTTGTCAGCTCTTGAATAAACCCCAAACTCCTACCCCAGGAGAAAAGCTATTTTGGAATTAGCATTTAATAAGGGAAAGTATGGTTTCTAATGTACCAATTTAATTACACTGCCATTCTAAGCATGCTTAAAGCTGGTTAAAAGTCTAATGTTGGTGCAGTATGTGCGAGTGGCACCAAACCCAAATTACTTAGTATTCAGTCAGTGAAGACACTACAGATCAGTCATGCACAAGTGTTTGTATTGTTTACAAGGCAGTATCATCCTGATGATTTTATATGTTTGTCTGTGTGTGTTTTCTTTAACCATTAGGTTGTTTGGATATTTTTTTTTAATCTGTTTGCAAATGAAGGTTTTGGGGGACCACTTTGTAAGTAAAAGCAAAAGGGGGAGAAATTTCTGAGAAAAAAATTTCTGAGGATAATTGATTGTAGACTGTTTTCATGTAACTAGAGAGTTTGGGAGCTTTAATTTGCAGATTGTTTTCTAGTGGTTTGGTTTTCCAACACAAATATGGACACATGCACCATATGGACACAGGAAAGGTAATGAATTTTCCCAGTCCTCGTCTCTGAGCTGATGGAAGGTAAAAAAGCACCATCTTGTGGCCAGTGACTAAATGCAGTGAAGGCAGGGCATCCAGACATCCCTCAGATGCTTTTTCCTTCATGGTGGGTGCAGCTTCCAGCTGGACATGAGCAGGGGCAACCACTTGGGCTGATGACATGAGGCAGATTCACCTGCTGGTGTCACAGGCCCCCAGAGCCACCATGCAGGGCTGTGGCACCACAGGGATTACAGGCAGCTGTGGGCCAGCTGCTGTGGCACCAGGTGATGGATAACAGGAGTTAACACCACATGTGTCCCCTTGGACCTTTACAGCTCCCAAAACAGGGATGCAGGAGCTGTTCAGCTGTGTGCTTTTTGCCAAGGGGCAGGTGGTCTCCTACTCTGAGCTCTGACTGAGGTTTTGGTTCAGAATCATTCATCAGGACAATGCTCCATGTATTGATAGAACATAATTTTGAAATAACCCAAGTGGACTTTCACTGTGGCTTTCTCCAGATATTTAGTTCACTTTTTTCCCCTCCTTCTGTTAGTGAAATTTAATTCATCTTCCTGAAAGCTTCCATTATCTGCAGTGTGAGGAAGGAGCAGAGCTAATGCTATTGCTTCTGACACTGAACACTGCCAAAAGCAACTTACAGCAGACAGTAGTAAATTTTGGTATTGGTTATCTACTCCAGCATTGTCATGTCTAATTAGCAGATTGAACGTCTCTACAAGGTGAAGAGTTTAAAACATGCTGGAGAATTTGGGTCTGTGCATTTTTCTAGACTAAAGTGCCTCAGAACAGGTGAACTCAGTACAGTTAGAGATGAACTGGGCATTTCAAGCCTGGCTTCACCCATGCTGGGTGCTTGGTTCCAGGATGGTCATGCTCACAGCTTCTGTCAGCTGAATGCTGCCCTGCAACTGGAAGGGCTCCACACGGTGCACACATTTGCTGCCTCTTTACTATTCTAAAAGGCACCACATCCTTCCCCTGTTCTGCACAAAGTTGTCCTCTACTTTGGATGCTCCTTATGACTTCTAAAATTGTTCTTTCTGCAGAAAATGTCCAAAGAGTATAGTACCTCTTTTTTGTTTGTTTTTTTTCCCCTCACAAAGTAAATAATTCCCATTTCTAAATTGTGCCAAACATTGCAATACATTCTCTATGAGATTTCTGATCTCTATGAGATTTCCCATTTAATGGAGTAATCAGAATCATTGCAACATTTCTCTTTTCTTTCTATTCTTGGCTTTATCACAATTCTTATTTGCACCAATTACACTTTTGGCTGAGGCTGAGTTGTGATCCTAGCTAAATTATTAGTGTCACCTCCACGAAAGCAAATATTGCTTTTAAAAGTCTGAATGTGTACCTCTGGGCAGGAGTTTTTTCCTCCTCCTAATGTGTGAGAAAATTCTCCCACTTGGATTATATTATCATATTGGCTGTTTACAAAGGATGATTACACCCTTGCTGGTTTGGCTTTCTATTTAGTGCTGTTGTTTTGTCACATTTCTTCTCCTTTTCGATGTGTTTTTCCTAACAGCATCTTGTCACATCAGCATGAGTCAATTTGACATTGCATTAATCTGTTCAGTGTCCATGAACTACGGCATATATACATTTGATTTTTCAATTGCACTTTGAGAGCCTCCAAGCCACTCTCTCTGAGGAACCTACATCGCAAGGAGTGCGGTTGCCTGCAGGTGACAGTCATGTTTGGTAGAAACACAGGTACAACGATCTTGAGTAACCCCGACCAAGGTTGTCTTGAGTAACTTCTTCCAAGATTTCCAGCAAACATGAGTGCCTGAGATGCCAGCAGCAACCCTGGAGAAAGGAAATTGCCTTGGGCTGAAGCAAAGGAGAGGAAGAAAAGAGGGCTTTAAACGCTGAACAATTAGCATAATTACTATGTGCAGATGCAACAGCAGTGTTGTTTGGGAGCTGCCTGCCAGACAGCTCAGGCATTTCTCTATCACACTAGAGCAAGGAAGGTGGAGGGGATAGCCAGATTAGTGTTTTCCATGTGTTACGTTGTTTTTCTTAACTTGGTGATTTGTCTCCTTCAGCACCAGCCAAGTGTTGCTGGTGTTCTCTTATCTCAAAGTCCCCTCGGAGTTGAGTCAAGAAGACTGGATGTCCCTGGTGC